GAGGTGCCAGGGACTCAGGTGCAGCTGCCCTCCCTCCCCTCCACTATATATAGGGGCAAGGGAGAGGGGGGCGCAGCCTTGGCCCTTCCTCCAAGGAAAGGGTGCGGCCAGGGAGGAGTCCATCCTCCCTAAGGCACCTAGGAGGTGCCTTCCCCCTTTAGGACTCTCCCTTTCCCTTATCTCTTGGTGCATGGGCCTCTTGGGGGGGCGCACCAGCCCACCTGGGGCTGGTCCCCTCCCACACTTGGCCCATGCAGCCCTCCGAGGATGGTGGCCCCACTTGGTGGACCCCCGGGACCCTCCCGGTGGTCCCGGTACATTACCGATAAAACCCGAAACTTTTCCGGTGATCAAAACAGGACTTCCCATATATAGTTCTTTACCTTCGGACCATTCCGGAACTCCTCGTGACGTCCGAGATCTCATCCGGGACTCCGAACAACATTCGGTAACCACATACAAACTTCCTTTATAACCCTAGCATCATCGAACCTTAAGTGTGTAGACCCTACGGGTTCGGGAATCATGCAGACATGACCGAGACGTTCTCCGGTCAATAACCAACAGCGGGATCTGGATACCCATGTTGGCTCCCACATGTTCCACGATGATCTCATCGGATGAACCATGATGTCAAGGATTCAATCAATCCCGTATACAATTCCCTTTGTCTAACAGTATTGTACTTGCCAGAGATTCGATAGTCGGTATCCCGATACCTTGTTCAATCTCGTTACCGGCAAGTCTCTTTACTCGTTCCGTAACACATCATCCCGTGATCAACCCCTTGGTCACATTGTGCACATTATGATGATGTCCTACCGAGTGGGCCCAGAGATACCTCTCCGTTAACCGGAGTGACAAATCCCAGTCTCGATTCGTGCCAACCCAACAGACACTTTCGGAGATACCTGTAGTGCACCTTTATAGCCACCCAGTTACGTTGTGACGTTTGGTACACCCAAAGCAATCCTACGGTATCCGGGAGTTGCACAATCTCATGGTCTAAGGAAATGATACTTGACATTAGAAAAGCTTTAGCATACGAACTACGATCTTTGTGCTAGGCTTAGGATTGGGTCTTGTCCATCACATCATTCTCCTAATGATGTGATCCCGTTATCAACGACATCCAATGTCCATGGTCAGGAAACCGTAACCATCTATTGATCAACGAGCTAGTCAACTAGAGGCTTACTAGGGACATGGTGTTGTCTATGTACCCACACATGTATCTGAGTTTCCTATCAATACAATTATAGCATGGATAATAAACAATTATCATGAACAAGGAAATATAATAATAATAACCAATTTATTATTGCCTCTAGGGCATATTTCCAATAGTGTCGCTCCATGGATTTGTTGTTGCTACTTGGTAGACTTCGGCGAGACTGCGGATTGTTTGTTTCTGTATATAATTTGATGTGAAAGTCTTGAAGACTGTTAATACCGTACTGGTGCTGTTGGGCTGGTTCTCTGGGGCTATAAGCTCTTCGCCACTTTTGGCCACCTGCCGTAGTATCCAACATGCTCGAAGGCTGTGTGTTGGAGTGGCGCCCTCTGTACTATGGATTTTACAGGGTCCGCTGAGCCATCCCTCCAGTACGGTTCCGTGCCCTTTATGGGGTTTTTGCTTTTTGGTTTTTGTCCCGGGTGCCTGAGCATGATGCACCCTTTTGTTTCGGACTAGGGTTGTGTTCGGAGCCGGATTGTCCCAAAACTTAGTTTCGATTTTCCAGGTACTCTCCATCGCACAGTACTTTCGTACTATGGACGCCAGGTTGGCGAAGCGTGTAATTTCGTGGCGACTTATGGCGTTAGTGATTCCCTTGTTCGTGCAATTGTTGCAGAAAATTCAGATTGCGCTTTCCTCACGGCAGTCCTTTATCCTGTCCATAACCAGGAGGAATCTGGCCCAGTAATGATGTACTGTCTCCGTGGGCTCTTGCCGGATTTGAGATAGATCGCTTATGTTTGGGTGGGCGGGTGGAATTAAGTCCGGAACCCTGCCCAACTTGAGGCTCAAGGGCCGAAAAGTTTCCGAATTTGGAAGCATGTATTGCTGGACGTTGTCCAACGAATCTAGTCCGCTGCCTGACTTTAGGTTCAGTACTTGATTGTCGTCCGTCCCTCCGCGGGAATCCGTCATGGAGGGATCAGGAGTCCGGACATAACTGGTCTTCAATACAGAAGAAGAGTCGTCGCGTTGTTCCTCTACCACCGCAACGTGGTGGGTAACCTGGGGAAAGTTAATCTCTCTCAGATCGGTTTTAAGCCCAATCTGATCGTAGTCTGTAGCGACTCCCAGGGCGGCGATGCGATCCAAGAGCTCGCTTACGGAAGAGAGCTCCATCGGATCCAGCTGCTTGGTGAATTCCGAGTTGATGTGAAGATTGCTTTCAATGACCCGAGAGGTCATCGTCGAAGTGGTGGCCGAACAGGTGGTCATAAGAAAACCACCTAGCCGGACAGTTTGGCTGGCGGCCAAAGCTCCTTTGGCAATGGTACCGTCCTTAAAGACGGGGAGAGGCATCCTTCCTGATCGTGATGGCACAGAGGAACTCTGAATGAAAGCACCAATGTCGGTGTCAAAACCGGCGGATCTCGGGTAGGGGGGTCCCGAACTGTGCGTCTAGGCGGATGGTAACAGGAGACAAGGGACACGATGTTTTTACGCAGGTTCGGGCCCTCTCGATGGAGGTAAAACCCTACTCCTGCTTGATTGATATTGATGATATGGGTAGTACAAGAGTGGATCTACCACGAGATCAAGGAGGCTAAACCCTAGAAGCTAGCCTATGGTATGATTGTTGTTGTCCTACGGACTAAAACCCTCCGGTTTATATAGACACCGGAGAGGTCTAGGGTTACACAGAGTCGGTTACAATGGTGGGAGATCTACATATCCGTATCACCAAGCTTGCCTTCCACGCCAAGGAAAGTCCCATCCGGACACGGGACGAAGTCTTCAATCTTGTATCTTCATAGTCTTGGAGTCCGGCCGATAGTGATAGTTCGGCTATCCGGACACCCCCTAGTCCAGGACTCCCTCATTCATCATACTTGTTTTTGGTGACCGAAGTGCTAACTTGTTTTGTTTTTCTTGTAGTACAACATTGCACAAAACTTGTTCAAAGAAGAGACAAGGACAACCAAGAAGGAGAAGATCAAGAAAGGCAGGATCTTTACCTTGCCTCATTGCTATGAAGTGTTAAAGGATGATGAGAAATGGAAGAAGCGTGATGGTTTGGAGGATTTGAATTTGAGCAACAAACGGAAGCGAGCAATTGAGATGAATGATGATGAGGAGGAGGAGGATGCATCAAGTGATGACGGCAAGAGAAGCCCCACACCCAACTCGGTTTCATACTCGAAGCCAAAACGACCGGATGGGTGCAAGAAAGACAAAACCGAAAAGAAGAAGAGGAAAGGAGATGATGAGCTCAAAAATGCTATGGAAGCTATTGTGAAGGCAAGGGTCGAAGCCACTGAGGTGAGGAAAATGGCAAGGAACCAAGATGCCGTGGCCGAGGAGAGGAGGTTGGCGGCCGAGGAGAGAAGGGTGGCGGCCGAGGAGAGGATGGTGGCTTTGGAGGAGAGGAAAGTGAGCAATGAGGAGCGAGCTAAGTCGTTGGAATGGGAGAAGCACTTGTTCTTCTTGGACACATCTAACCTCAATGCGGCGCAAAAGAAGTATGTCAATCTTGCCCAACAAGAAGTCTTGATCCAAAAAAGAGCCATGGTTCGTGCAATGGGTGGCGGTGGCCTCGGCGCCATGGGTGGCGGTGGCCTCGGCGCCATGGGTGGCGGTGGCCTTGGCGCCATGGGAGGCATGGGTGGCTTCGGAGCCATGGGAGGCATGGGTGCACCTCCGGCCGCCATGGGAGGCATGGGTGCACCTCCGGCCGCCATGGGAGGCATGGGTGGCTTTGGAGCACCCTCCGACGCTATGGCCGCCATGGGAGGCATGAGTTTTGCTTCTCTCATGGGAGGCATGGGTGCACCTCCGGCCGCCATGGGTGGAATGTCTTTCGATGTGCCTTCTCACACACATTCCCATGGAGATGCCGTTGAAAATCTTGCCAACACCGTCGGAGCTTCACGTGATGCGGTGCGTGATGAGGAGAGGGAGGAAGATTCATCTTCGGAGGCGGAAGAGTCGTCTTCGGAAGATGAGGACGAAAACGAGGAAGATGAAGATTGATGTGTCCTGTCTTGAACTTTAGTTTGCATTTGAACTTGGTTGGATGAACTTGTGGGCATGATTTTGAAGTTGTGGGCATGAACTTTTATTCATCATCAACTTGTTTGTGTCAAATTTCACATGTTCATTGCATTTTGATGAATGTTTCAAACTCATTTTATGTCCAAAATATCATATATGTTAATGCCCGGCGAGTCGTGCGCGTTGTATTTTTGCGCGCTATTGGAGCGGCGTGCGCGCGCTGCTAGAGCCAGCGCTGGCGGCCGCGCTAAACATGCCAAAGCGCGCGCGGCAAATGGGTTTTTTGCGCGCGGCGCTTTGCGCGGCTGTTGGAGATGCTCTTACTCGGGTTGAACATCCCTTGTCTCTCTGCTCCGGGTTCCATGATTATGCCCTTTGGCGTTCATGTCATGTACCCTCTGTCGTAGTCATTCTCTTTTATTCTATCAATGAAAGATACGCCAAGCTTTGCGTATTCGTGAAAAGAAAAAGTCTCTTGTAAGATAATAAATCAGGCTATGATTAAAAATTCTATATACAAACAGTGTAATTTTTGCCGGTCATATACAGGATTACACCAATTTCTCCTTTTCCTCTCCTATACCAAGACTGCATATGTGTACGGCTGGATTCTCCAGACCACGCACGAAAAGAAACCAAACATTTCACGTCAATGGCGCGCCGGCGATGGATGATCTCTCCGGGATCAGTCTCTCCCGCCGGCTGTATACTCTCTCCCAAACTATCACCTGCAAATAGCAAAGAGCACAGCAAAAAGAATTTGATCTGCCTCTCACGGCCCGGCGATCTTAACTCGCACTTTCTTGGCGTGCATCTCGGTGAACTCGGTCTCCGATACCTCCGAGTTGGACGACGACGTGAGGTGCCTCACCGAGTGGCGGTCGTCGCCGGCGTGGCGCGACCCTCCGACGCCGCCGCACGCCGCCGAGGCGAGCACGAGCAGTGCCATGGCCGTCGACAGGGCGGCGAGCGCGGCCCACGTCGCCCGCGCGCCGCGCCGCAGCGGCGCGCACTGGTTGCCCACGATGTCCGCGAAGCCGGCCTTCACCAGCTCGCAGCTCACCAGCCGCTCCGTGCCCGGGAAGATGTCCAGCACGTTCTGGATGGAGCTCGTGTACGTCTGCACCTTGTCGTAGTCGATCGCCGACGAGAGGTCGGCCGGCGCGCAGTTGGCGCCACCGCTCAACTCCGAGCACGTCAGCCTCCGCAGGATCTTCACAACAACAGCGCGAGAACAATCAGTGCCATGCCGTCAAGATTATATTTCCTCTTCAGATGCTTTGGTTCCTGGATGTTGCGACGGAGCTTGTTTGTTTACCTGAGGGATGTCACCAATGGTGGCGGCGCCGGAAGCGCAGTTCTCCGGCCGGTACCGGTACCCCGGCGGCCCGGCGAACGGGTTGCAGATATAGCCCAGCTGCTTCACGGGGTACTCCGACTTGATGGTGTAAATGTTCGAATTCACCTGTCGAAACCAAGATTGATTCAGAAACAATCTGGATGCATCATGCTAACTCTGTCTGCTCTGCTTCTGAACGCAGCTTCAGAGTTCCAAAATGTTACCTGGTCTATGATGTCGTGTATGCCTGCACCAACATCGTGCAGGATGACGCTGCCGGACATCTTCTCGCTGCAGGGTATGATGGCGCCCAGCGTGCTGTTCTTGGGGTTCAGCTGGTACTCCTCGAGGGCCGCGCACGTGACGCCGGCGAACTTGTCGAGGAAGTAGTACAGCCCGAAGTACATCCAGAAGAGGACTGTCAGTACCCAGCACAAGGCTATGCACCTGTTGCAAACAGATAACTTTCATCAGAATATGAACTAAAATTATTCAGCTTATTGTGGTGGATGTCTGAAGTAAATGATATTTACTCACATATGGTACAACTTCTGTAGCCTCAGAGGTCTTCCCACTACCATAAAAAAGCAATGTGTTAATTTTATTTTCAGGTAATATGTAAGAGAATTTATGCCCACTGAGAAACATTTCACCATGATCACTTACCTAGCAAGACAAGGACCAAGACAAGATTCAGCGTCACGGTTAAAATGATGACAAGTTCTCTGAAAATTATCAGCTGTATTATTTCCCATGATGATTTTCAGGTTTCATAAGATTCGAGAACTACTAATGTAGCAGTATCTATCATGCTTATCATGTAAAAAAGTTCTTACAATGTGTTGATGCCTTTGCTGACCAAGCGCATGTTCTTTTCGGCCTTCGCCTGAATTTCCACGGCTTCAGAGTTCAGTGCCTTTACCGTGGAGTTCAGATGATCAAAGGATTGGCTACTAATGTTGTATAGCCTCGACGTGTTCTGCATCCTCTCAATGGCTCCTGTAATGTTATAAATCGTCGCAGTCGCTTCAAGCGCTGTTCTCCCGACGATATCTTTGATGGACTCTGCTCTAGAATGAAATAGTACAGCGCCCTGAAGCGCGATCGCCGATGCAACTCTGCAAATAAAGCGTGGCAGCAGATGAGTCGCAACATTTCTACTTAGATTTTTGGGTTTACAATGGTTGCATATCATGTGAGAATTTGATAGAAGTACCGCTGAGCTGAAACTTACATGGCAAAAACTGCAAGAAGAATGATAAGCATGACAGACACAAGATGGCATCTGTCAAGAAAATCATCGATGACACCGTCTCTTTCTCTTTCGTTACTTTTGGTGAAGAAAATCTTTGAGGCAAGAAGGAAGCCGGCAAAAATGACACCACCAATAAGCCATAATGCACCAATGATGTATCCAGATCTACCTGTAAATACGGTCGACTGAAAAATAAACACAAGGACAATCAGTTTTAATCCTCGATGGATGCATATGGTTTCCCCCTCTCACTTTGTTCAGTCAACTCCATCTAACATAAGCTACATCAATGTTACTGCAAAAATGAATGAACATGATACTGCAAAAGCAGTCATTTCTGTTATTAAGAAAGTGGTAGTTCTTTTGTCCGCAAGTCAGTCTATCTGATTACAGAAAGCAGTGTGTATGCCTCTTCAGATTGTATTCAGATAGAGAAGAAGAAAACTTACACTCCAGTAATGCTTGTTTGTGATATTGAACCCTCCCTCATACTTCCTCAAGCCATCAAGAGGATCGATTCTTCTCGTTCTTCTCGAAAGGTCGCTATGCGATCGATTCGCCGTCTCCGACAATACCCTACCCACTGATCAACACAGGCAACACGATCAATTACCTCACAGGCAAACTTCTTCTTTTTTTTTAACACATCAGAGGCACACTTAATTTGCATGTTACTGGGAAGGTGGTAAAAACATTTTGAAGCTTTTTCATGAGGTGGTAGATGAGGATTATTCACTCACCTGCTCCATTGTGGGGTGAGCCTTCGGATTGTTGTCGTAGAGTGGTTTGTGCCTGAGCTCCCGCGTGCAGACTGCATGTGACGGCCGCACAGCAGCAGAGCAGAAACACTAACCGCCCAAGCCTCCTCGGTTCCATGTCAGCAAGCTGCCATGAGAAAAGCTCCAAGCGTTACCCTCCAATCTCCACCCGGACGTGCGAAGGTAGAAGAAGAAGAAACCAAAAGGCATTCTATCAGAAGAAGAGACCAAAAGCAATGGATCCGAAGAAGATAGAACCCGACTAGATTTCTGCATGTGCTGTGACAATCCGCAGATCAACCTGTCAGTGAGTGAGTGCTTTCCATGTCATGTCAGGCTTCTAGTCCGGCTAGGCATGTCAGCTTCTTCTTCCTCCTCGGCCTAATTTCTGGTCTAGTCACGAGAATGTGCAGCACAGATATCTCATCTTCAGCCTGTGCGTGTCAGTTTCTTGCCTTTGCCTAATTTCTGGAGAAAACTGATTTCCTCGCCATATTTTCAACGCCTTGGGTTTGCCTGTGGTTGGCCAGCTTTAATTACCGGTTTCTGATTCAGACGAAATCGTGCAGGCTTTTGGACATGCCATTAATTTGAGTACTATACTATTACTGCACCGTTCTTCTAGATAACGATGGATCCTGGTGTCGGAGATATGGCAATTTACATGCGAATATTGCAAATCAAAAAAATCATCACGGTGTGTGATTACGAATTTACGATGCCAATCACTGTGCTGATTAAATTTTATACTTACTCAATTACCTGGTGAAAGTGAGAAAAAAACTAGTGAGAGAAAAGTGCATTGTGCAAGAAATGCACCGGCGTCCTTAAATTTCTTCAGAGAAACCAAAAACATGCAAAGCAAAAGGAGGATCACAAGTATTAATTCAGTTTTTACAAAAGGAACTCTTCATCGTCGATCGTGTTGCGACTCCTGATCGTATAGTAATCCTATGCTATGTAAACCCCTCTTGAATTTTCACACGAAACTGACCCAGGAAAGAACAGAGTAACTCTCACTTCAGGTAAGAAATACAAAATAGTACTATCAGAGAAGAAATTCGACTCACCGCCCAAGAACTCAAGAACAAGAGAAGAACTCACTGGAATCCAAGGGAAAATCAACGCGGAGAACAGAATGAAGATAATCATATCGTATATATACTTACCCCAATCGGAAACTTATCTTCCAGACGCGGCCTCCCTTGCAAGCATATCCTCCTGCTCGTCTTCTCGCCACACCGAGAACTCGTGGAAGCCGAGAGACTAACAGAGACGGCAGCACTTGCTCCAAACTAACACCTGCCTTGGGTCTCTCTCGCCATTAATGTCCTCCTCGCGAGACGTGGCCTCCCTCTCCCATCCGTCGCCCGATCCAAACCCCTCTCTCTCGGTGTCTCTCCGTCTCTGTCTCAGACAAGGCCGCCTCTGCTTGTGATGTCGCCCCTTTCCATGGCAGCAACGCGCACGGAGGAAGGCAAGTATTTTATACGGGATCAATCAGTCAGAAAGGGTTTAAAGGAGGCGCCAGCCATACTTTCCTTGGGCATAGAGGAAGATAGGAAGTGATGGGTGGGTATGGCAGGCGCCGGAGGCAAGGAAGGAAGGAATTTGTGGAGCTGGAGGAGGAGAGGTCGGTCGGTCGGCTAGCGGCAACGTATAAAAGGGGTTTGAATTCGGGTCCGCGTAACAACTTTGGCCGAGGACTTGTTTTCCGTTTCCTTGTTTCTCTCCTTCCTTTCTGCTTCCTTCCTTCTCCGTGTGTGTGAAAGCTGAGGAGCGCCGGAGACGGGACAGAGTCTGCCGGGGTGGGGGAGGTTTTGGGCGATTGACCTCGCCCTACCCGATATTGGAGCGAGGGACCATTCCAAATGTGCTAGTGCAAAGCAAAAGGATTTCACTACAAATATGACGTCGTATTTTTAAGCATGGCAAATTTGACGCTTGGGATGACAAATTATATTGTCGCAAGCATGAAAAATCATTTTCATAGCTCAATTTTTTGCCTAGTGTTCGCTGTTGTAGAAGGACAAGATGTGGGTTGTGCAATCGCAATGTATTGATCGGTGCACCAGGCACGTATATATAAGTACAGAGGTGGGCCACAATCTCGGCTATACAAAGAAAACAGGAGGTGGGCCCTACACACAAATATACACGTACACAATATACTCAACACCCCCCGCAGTCGAAGCGGCACTAGTGACGCAAAGACTGGAACGAAACTCCTCGAAGGTAGAAGTCGGCAGTCCCTTCGTCATCACATCGGCGAACTGTTGTGCAGCCGGCACATGGAGAATCCGAATGCGTCCAAGAGCCACCTGCTCGCGCAGAAAATGAATGTCCAGCTCAATGTGTTTAGTCCGGCGATGATGAACAGGGTTGGCGGAGAGGTACACCGCAGAAACGTTGTCGCAGTAGACAACCGTAGCCTGGGAGACGTCGTGATGCAGCTCCTGAAGTAACTGTCGTAGCCAGGTGCACTCAACAACAGCGTTGGCCACAGCTCGGTACTCAGCTTCCACGCTGGAGCGCGAAACCGTGGGTTGTCGCTTGGACGACCACGAGACGAGTGAAGGACCGAGGTAGACGCAGTAGCCAGAGGTGGACCGACGAGTATCTGGGCAGGCAGCCCAGTCCGCATCAGAGTAGGCCATCATCTCCAGAGAAGTGGACGCCGTGAGTGTCAGCCCGAGGGTCATCGTGCCACGGATGTAACGAAGGATCCGCTTCACGAGAGTCCAATGGGAGTCGCGAGGGGCGTGCATGTGGAGACACACCTGCTGAACAGCATACTGAAGATCTGGTCTGGTGAGAGTCAAATACTGAAGAGCCCCGGCGATAGACAGGTAGAAAGGAGCATCCGACGTTCGCGAGCCATCAAGAGCAGAAACCTTGGCCTTCGTGTCAACAGGAGTAGCAACAGGGTGACAGTTGAGCATGCCGGCACGCTCAAGAAGCTTGTGTGCATACTTCTGCTGATGAAGAAAGAAACTGTCCGGGCGCCGAACGACCTCAATGCCAAGGAAATAATGTAGAGCACCCAAGTCCTTGATGGCAAACTCGTCACGCATCCGGAGAGTAATCTGCTGAAGAAGAGCTGCGGAGGAGGCCGTCAGGATGATGTCGTCGACCTAAAGGAGCAAATATGCACTCGTATCACCGTGGCGATAAACAAACAGTGAGGCGTCCGAGCGAGTGATGCTGAAGCCCAGTGTCCGAAGAAACCCGGCGATCCGCTGGTACCAGGCGCGGGGTGCCTGCTTGAGCCCGTAGAGAGAGCGGGACAGCAGACACACATGGCCAGGAAGTGAGGCGTCGACAAAACCGGTGGGTTGCTCACAATACACCTGCTCCTCAAGATGGCCGTGGAGAAAGGCGTTGGAGACATCCGTCTGATGAATGGGCCAGCCTCGGGACACAGGGCAAACGTCTTAGTGAAGTCCACTCCAGCGCGCTGGCGGAAACCACGAACCACCCAGCGAGCCTTGTAGTGCTGAAGAGTACCATCCGAGCGGGTCTTATGGCGAAAGATCCACTTGCCGGTGATGACGTTGGCGCGAAGAGGCCTGGGAACCAGTGTCCAGGTACGGTTCCGCTGGAGAGCATCGAACTCTTCCTGCATTGCCGCAAGCCAGTGAGGATCACGCAGGGCTGCACGAGCGGACACGGGAAGAGGAGACGGCTCCGCGGTGGAGGCGGCGAGGACATACTCATCGCTCGAGTACCGGAGGCTCGGACGATGAACACCGGTACGAGCCAGTGTAACGGGGCCAGGCGGCGCCATCGCAGCCACCGGCGAGGCGGCCGGCGAGGGGGCCGGCGTCAGGGCCGGCGAGGCGGCCGGCGTCGGAGCCGGCGAGGCGGCCAGTGTCGGGGCCGGCGAGGAGGCCAGCGTCAGGGCCGGCGTCGGGGTCGACGAGGCGGCCGGCGTCGAGGCGGCCGAAGGGGCAGCCAAGCCAGCACCACCTGATCCCGCCGTCAGGTTCGGCCGAGGAGGCCGAGAGTGCAGGCGCCGGCGTGAGGGCGCGAGGACCACCAAAGCCCGGAGGCGGTCCACGGGCCGAACGGGGCCGTCCACCTGACGAAGTCACCGAAGGGCCGCCGGTGGCCGGCGGTGACGAGGCGACGAGGGGTACCTGCTGCTGAAAGGGAAACACCATCTCATCAAAGTAAACGTGTCGGGAGGTGAAAACACGATGGGAGACAGGATCATAGCAGCGGTAGCCCTTAGTGTTAGGTGGGTAGCCGAGAAAGATGCAGGCGACTGAGCGGGGTGCAAGCTTATGAGGCGCAGTAGCGGCGATGCTAGGGTAGCAAAGGCAGCCGAAGATGCGAAGCTCATCATAAGAGGGTGGTGAACCGAAGAGAAGGTGATGAGGTGCAAAGTTCCCGCGAGTGCGACATGGACGGATGTTGATAAGGAGGGAAGCGGTGGCGAGAGCGTCTGGCCAAAAGCGCGGAGGCACATTGACAAGAAAGAGAAGAGTCCGAACGCAGTCATTGAGAGTGCAAAGGATACGCTCAGCACGACCGTTTTGCTGCGAGGTGTACGGGCAAGTGAGACGAAAAGTCGTGCCATGTGTGGTAAGGAGAGTACGAACAGCGAGGTTGTCGAACTCTTTCTCGTTGTCTGTCTGCAACGCGAGAATGGGACGACCAAACTGCGTGAGAACATAGGAGTAGAAGGCGGCGAGAGTGGATATAACATCCGACTTGCGGCGCAACGGGAAGGTCCACACATAATGCAAGAAATCATCAAGTATGACAAGATAATAAAGAAAGCCCGTATTACTGGCAACAGGAGAGGTCCAAACATCACTATGAATTAACTCAAACGGGTATAATGCAACATGAGAAGAAGCCCTAAACGGGAGACGAGCATGTTTGCCGAGGCAACATGCATGACATGAGTGATCCTCGTTCTTATTACACGTGAAAGAAAAACTCCTAAGTATATGGCGAAGGGTGGCAGAATTAGGATGACCCAAGCCAGCGTGCCAAAGATCCACTCCGGTGGCGAGAGCGACAGGGGCGGCGGAAGTGGTGGAGGTAGCGGAGTGAACCGGGTAGAGCTCGTCAGGGCTGTCACATCGGTGGAGCACTATCCGCGTGCGA